TACCCTCCCCATCAATCTGTCGGCATCTCTGGTCCATCAGCCCCTCCCTCTGTGTGGACCGCACGTGGGGCACATGCCCATCTCGGAGCTGAGAGCTAGCCCCGGGTGTCCTCTTGGCCCCAGGGTTGCTGCTGCTGGGAGCCTGAGGTGAAATCAGCACGAGTAACTCTCCAGAGGTGACCTTTGTTCAGCACCTGGTTCTGTCAGCTGCCTGAGCAGAAATGGGACCTGACTCCCAGTGTATAAACTAACCAGAGTGCAACATCAGTGTCACCTAGCCAACTTTCTTTCTCCTCGAAGAATTCTTGGCACCAGTTAACACATTTGCCCAAACAGAAGGTAATTTCCCCATATTCACAACAGGAAAGTTTTACAAAATGGGGGTTTTCTTCAGCCTACTTGAATATATAAAACTGTGGTGTTCAGCTTTGCGGTGCCTTCAGATTTCCTAAGGAAATTTAAAAAAATTTGTGTGGTAAAATACACATATAATATTTCCCATCGTGATGATTTTTAAGTATCTGGTTCGGAGGCATTAAGGACATTCATATTGTTATGCAAACCATCCCCACCGTCCACCTCCAGAACTTTTCATCTTCCCAAACTGAAACTCTATACCCGTGAAACACTAACTCCCCATTCTCCCTCAGCCCACCCCTGGAAGCATTGTTTTACTTTCTGTCTCTTTGAATCTGACTCCTCTAAGTAACTCATGTGAATGGAATCATACAGTGTTTGTCCTCCTGGGTCTGGCTTCTTCCACTTGGCATAAGGTCCTAAAGGTTCCTCCCTGTTGCGGCCTGTGTCACGGTTTCCTTTCTTGTGAAGGCTGAATAGTGTTCCACACTTTGTTAATCCACCCATCTGCTGATGGATATGTAGGTTGGTCTCATCTTTTTTCTTATCTAGACCTTTCCCTTTGGGCATCCAGACCCAGCAGTACCCAGAAACTCCTCTCTTCCGCAAGACCAACACATTACACTTGAACTTCACTCAGAATTAAAACAGGTTCCCTGACCAGAAATCTGAGGTGTTTCATCGTTTGCACGCGGTGGTTCTCAGGCATCTGGGGGAGGAAATGAGCTCACCCGGTAAAGCATCATCTGCCTGGAACACAGCATGCACTCAGTGGGAGTCAGCCACCTGCAGTCTGGAAGGAAGGAGGGAGCTGGTTTTGGAAGTTGTCTTAGGAAAGGGGAGACTCGAATGTGCTTCAAGGCCCTGGGGTAGAATCCCCAGGAGGGGAAGACACAGACGTGTGAAGGGAAGGATGGGGGGGGTCAGCTTAAGCCCCTGTTTCATTTCCCCTGCCACCCTGGGTTGCTCACAGCTCAGGCCACTGCTGCTCTGACCCACGACTCTGTCCTCTGTGTTCCTGGATCAGCTTTAATGGAGCAGCGAGTGCCCACGCCCATGCATTGCCTCGGGCCCGGATCCAGTGTCCTAGGGACACCACAGGGCTGGGCCTCTGTGCCCTGGTCCCAGCTCCCAGCCCCCTGAATTCTTGTCCCCAGAGCTGCATTTAGTTGGGTTCCCACCACCAGGCTCCCTCCTGAGGAGTATGGGCACCGGCCCTGGGTGTCCCCAGGCGTCATCTGCCCACGTTCCCTACGGACGTGTGCCACCCCTGACGTCCAGGCAGAGCCCCCGCCGCCTCTTGGAAATCCCCACCAGCTGTTTCCAGAACCGTCGTAGCTTTTGCCGCATCCCCCGTGTCCTGTGTCTTGTCTGTGAGCTGGACCACTGCCCCCCTGCCCATCTCAGGCCACTCCTCTGGGCTGATCTGGCCCTGGAGGCAAGTCCCCTGTTGCACTGAGAGGCCACCTTGCGGTGATTCTGAGTTCAGTTAAACTGAATCGAGGTTTTGTGAACACAGCACCTGAGCTCAGTGCTAGTGATATACAGACAAATAAGACACAGCCCCACCCTTCACAGGAAGTGCCGTCCAAAACATCCGCATAGGACCTAGTTCCAGTGTAAAGGACGGGCCTTGAAGGTGGAAGGACACCATCTCTCTGGAGACGGCAGCGAAGGAGAAGGGCAGGGCACAGAATGGCGGCCCATCCCGGGGCTAGGGGACTCAGAGCCCGTGCTCTCTTCAGGTCTTCTCCCTCCCCGCTCTCCCCCCACCCCGTCCCACAGAGATTCGGGGTTACCTAGTTCAGACGTGGGTTAACCACTCTGGGGCTCTGCGGTCAAGGCCTTCTGCCTCTCAGACTAGAGTCCAGCACAGAAGGGAGATCCTTCAAACCTCTGCACCCCGGGTACCAAGCAACCTGGGGGTGGCAGGGGCAGAGTGCCGTGGGGACAGCCAGGGCACAGAACCCAGACTGGGAGCTTGGAGAAGCGTCCCAGGGCAGGTGATGTCTAAGGCGAGGCCACAAAGACAGGAGACGGTGAAGCAGATGGAAGGGCTGGGGGAAGGGAGCCTTCGTATGTCCCCATAGCCCACCAGGCACCAGCTGGCGTCAGCCTACAGCTCTGCTTTCGGAAGTCACTCCTGTCCCCACCAGTCCTCGTCTTCACGTGGCCCCCAGAGCCCTGACCTTGTCTCCCATCCTCTCGGACCTCCCTTCCCTGCTTTCCTTCCTTGTCCTCTCCCTTGCACCAAGATGAGATGTTGGCGCCCCTCGGGGTGGTGGCCTCACCGCCCATCTCTTCTCCCATGGCCGCGGCGCCATCCACGTTCCCCGAGGACCAGGGCATGTCTTCAGCCCCCCCAGCCCCAGATCTCGTCGCCTCATCCATCACGTCTTCAGAACGTGCACTTGGTCACACCTCCTCTCCCTCGTGCCCTGCTGGCTGCATCCTGCTGTGGCTCCAGCTCGACCCCTTCCTCTCCCCGGGTTTTGGGGGTCTCTCATCGTTGCTGTTGAGTCAGTCATGCCCCCCACCCCTGCCCCACTCCCTGGTCACCTGGCTGCCAGGCTCTCCCTTCACCCACGTGTGCCCGCACCCCACAGTTGGCTCCGAGGACGCCCTGCTGCTGGCCACAGCCCCTCCGCTACTGCCATCGCCCGGGGCAGGCGTTCAGGCCTCAGTCCGTCTTCCCCTCTCCTCCCTCTATTGCCCCCTCGTGGCCTTTGCTCAGACAGAAGGCCCTGCAGGGGCGCCGGGCGTCTCCACTTCCTTTTGGGCTCACGTGGACCTCTAGCTAAATGCCCTTTCCTCCCCAGTCCGCACTCCCTCAGCCCCCACCAAGGCTCACCTCAGACGTCTCTGATTCGAAGGAAGCCCCTCTGGGTCTTTCTGTTGGAGAAAGCCCCTCCCCTCTGACTGTGTACACCTCCCCGTCAGAACGTACCACCTTCTGCCTTGTATTTTAGTTACTGTCCGTCTCCCCGGCGCAGCTGAGGGCAGGCCCCGAGGTCGGGGTTCGGGGCCTCCTATTTCTGTCGGTGGGGTCCCCCCGCGGGAGCTTGTGCACATTAGCTACTCAGTAAAGAGTGCTGAATAAGGACCTGAATGAGGTTTCCGCAAGCCCCTAAAAGCCACTTTTCCGACTTCACTCTTAGAAAACTGACCTTGAAAGTAGGATAACGTGATAGTTAGAGCAAGAACAAAGGTCGTGGGGCTAGACTGGGGCTAGACTCTGTCCTCATCGACCTGCACAGGTAACTGAGTCATCTCAACTGCAGCCTGGGAATAGTTCTGGGCAGACACTGGTTTTGGTAAAACTTTCTCCAGATTATGAGAAATCAAGTCAGATGTGTCACGTCACACCGTGCTCACTTCAAGGAAAGTTCACATCTTAGCGGGACCTCATTAGCACCTCGAAATCAGCTTTCAGCGTTTGTGTCTGTCCACACCGCCTGAAGGGCCTGTTTCTGCTTCCTCGGCGCGAGTTTCCAGTTCGGCGGGCAGAACCGGCGGCGTGCTGACGGCAGAGCCAGCCTGCCGGCCCTGCCAGGCCCCGGATGTGAAAAGGCAGGCCCCCGCAGGTCTGCCGAATGGGGGGAGCTGCGGCCCTAAGGGTGCAGAGCTCCTGGGTTTCGCCTTGCAAATTAAAAAGTTGCAAAGAGAGGACTTTTTGTTCTTTCAGAGACGTCCTAGAGCTCTTACAAACTGGTGACCAGGTTGCTTTTTGTTCAGATAAGGACAGTGGGGGAGGGATGGGACTCAAACAAAAGCAATATTTAGTTGGGGAAATCTAGCTGCTAAGACATAGGAAGGATTCTTGCGTGGAAAAAAAATTAGGCTCTTACTTAGAAATCTACACACTGCCCAGACGTGGAAACCGATGAGCTTGGCGTGAGAACGGCTTCTTAGGAGATTAAGTGGAAAAGTCTGTTTAAAATGTTTGATACCAGGGAGTTAGCACACCTCTAAGGGCGAAACTCTCAGAAGCCCGAGAGTGTGGAGCTTCACAGAAATAATCCGTCAGTCACCTCAGTGTACAAATGAGTACTCAGAGGTGCTCAGAGACCAGCGCTGCTGAGTGAGGTGCCTGGAGCCTCGAGGAGCCTCGATCGGGCGGGCTTCGGAAAAACAATTACCTTGCAAGAGAATCGGTCGTGCTGTTTTTTAACAATTTCTTTTCGCTGCTCTGTAACATGTACTTGAAAAGCATAACAGGTACAAGAAAGAACTGTAATCTGAACTAGCAAACAAGCCCAACAAAAAGCAGAAAGAGAATAAAATAAGGAAAATAGTCCAGAATATGAAATTTAAAAGGCAGGAGCATCGCATACTGTTGGGTGCACGTGGACACTTTTTACAGAACTACAGGCACAGTCATTCGTTTAACGAACATTTGAGTGTCTCCTGTGTCCCAGGCACCATTCTGGCCACCGAGGACCCCGCATGAGGAGCAAGTAGACAAGGGCCCTGCCCTCCGGGAACTTCTGTTCTAGGGACACACACATCATTCACCACCTGTTAAAATACCGCTGTTAAGATCCATCACCCCCTCCCTCCCAGGTTTTGGTGGAAATTTAACTGAATTGGAAAACTGATCATACCTGAATGATTTTTAATGAAGATTGCTTTTTGTTTTTTAGGGAGAAGAAAATGGCTTTGCAGACAGTACCGGAGATCCCCTTTCAGGTAAATGATTGACTCTAAAGACATCTGGGCTCAGGGATGGCGAGCATGGCTAAATTAAAGATCATTTGAGGGGATGTTTATCATTAACTTTTAAAATGTCTGACAGACTCAAGAAACTTTCCAACCACCTGCCATGGGGAGCTGCAAAGAAATCTTACAGGATTTCACAAAAGCCTTCAAAGAGTGTTTTCTCTGTGTGGACCCTGCTTTGCTTGTGCGGGCACAGCCCTTAGGTAGCCAGAGGGGCCGCTGCTCACACTAGGCTGTGTGCTCTTTCCTGCTGTTTTCTGCTTTTAATGTGTTTAACCAAGGAAATGTTTAAAGTTTCTCTCTCCCACCCCGTCCTCCACCACCTATTTTCTCCATCTTCTTTTTTTTCTTCATTGTAAGACAGATACTTTAGAAATTAAATTTCTCATTAATTACTCATGGGGGAAATACGGAGTTAGCATTAAGATAAGCTACCAAAATAATAATTAGGGAAAAAGAAAAATGTCACCAACTTTTTTTTATATCTTCTAAAACACATGTTGAATGACCTGAATCATCACAGGTTGGTTTCTTTTTTTTTTTTAACTTTATTTTGAAATTTTGTGGGGGAGGTGGGTAATCAGGTATTTATTTATTTATCCATGGAGGGGACTGGGGATTGAACCCAGGCCCTCGTGCATGCTAAGCATGTGCTCTGCCACTGAGCTGTCCCCTCCCCCACTGTTTCTTTCTTTTTTAAGGAAGGATGGGGGACTCATAAAACCCTTAGGATCATCTATCATCAGTCCCAGACTGTGCCCAGGGAACCATGCTGAAGATCAGAACATGCAGTGAATAATCAGCTTTTTTTTTTTTAACCTTAGGAACATGTTAGCAGCAGTTTTATCTCTGGGTGGTGAGATTTTTAGGTGATTTTTTTTTTCATACAGCAGATTTTTATTTATTAAAGGCCCAGTCTGTGCCAGGCTTTCTAAGGAGGCCATGGGGCAAAAGTATGGCTGTGGAAGACAGAAATTGGGATTCTGGTTCTGTTTCAGCCACTACCCTGCTGTACTTAGAGAAATCAAGGGAGAGACTGGGCCAGGAGAACTTCTGGTGGAGCCTTCCCACCAGGTTTCCTGGGACGGCATGCTGCCCGGCTCCCATCCAGACACCTACCTGTTGGCACCCACTTTCCCTGGACCACAGTCCACCCCTACTAGGCTGGGGCCACTGCCTAACAGTCATCCCTCTCCACAAATGCTGCAGGGGACACCAGCTCAGCTGAGACGCAAACAGCTGGGTGAGGTGGAGGCCGGGAAGCCTCTTTACACACAGCAGCAGCAATTTTAATTACCTTGTCTCTATCTTGTGTTTTAAAAATTTTGTAACATGAGCGGGTATCAGAAAAATCTACCCATCAAAACTTTAATCTGCGTACACAAGTGTGTATATAACAAATGAGCAGATACAGGCAAATACAATGCATGGTGAAGTAGCCAAGGAGATCAGTCCCTAAAAAGCTGTAACTGGCCTGGATGGTGAGAACATGACATGTTTTTCCATATGCTCATCTGAGTTTTTAGCTTTTCTGTGACGAGCACCTGTTTCTTTTCTAATTAAAAAAAATCTGTATTTAAACTTGTTAAAGACTCACACTTGCACTCCAACGTAAACTAGCTAAAATGAGAATGAATTGCCGGTTGTTTAGGAATCTGTCAACCCTAAAGGCATTTATTAACAGATAAACTCTAATCAAATTTTGGGTTGTTTCTAAAAACCTTTACCTAAGTCAAAACGAAATGGAAGGCTTTCAAGGAGAATCAGCTTTTCACAGTGATGGCAGGTAGTATTACTGAGAGCAGAAGTCGTGCTGTGGAAGTTGACATCTTCACTGTCCAACCTGATGCTTTGCCCAGAGGGATGTTTGGTCGGGTTTGGGGTTGGGGTGGTTTCCCCATGAACAAGCAAATGAGAGACGTTGACTTCATGGCTTTGCTCTCGGAAGAACGAGCAAAAGCAGAAACCCGTATTTCCTCTTTGAATGAGAGGAGCAACCCAAGGAAGATTGCTCTTAACTGTTTTACGTATAAACACAAAGTTAGCATTTACCACGTACCAGGCCCTTTTCTAAGCGCTTTACAAACGCACCTAGAGAAAAAGTGTCCATGACAAGCCTGCAGGCTCAGTTACCGTCCCCACCAGGTGGATGCAGTGAGGGCAGTGCTGGGTCACATGGCGGGCTCTCCATCACATGCAGGTGTCCTAAGTGGGACTCAAGCCCCAGCCCCCCTACCCCAGCTGCCTCACCAGGCTGCCTCTCTCCGGGTCACTTTGCCTGCGCAGCGCCCACGTTGAATGCTCGAGTGTCCTACGTGGGGGTGAAGGTCCGGGTTCCAGCCCTCAGAGCCCTAAGCCAGAACAAAGCCACATCCCACTCCCACTCCCCCGGAGTCGGTCTCTGAGCCGCTGAAACTCTTTTCCCAGAAGCTTGCTACTTTCCCTGCGTCAGGCCCCCCAGTGAGCCTGAGCTCAGAGCCTGGCTTTTATTTAATTCTTGCAATTTGAAAACCTTAGTTATTGCGACCCGGTTTATAGCTGGTTAAAAACTAAGCAATATGTGGAAGATGGAGCGCTCAGGGATAGAAGGAGGGATTAGACCCGAGAGAAGTGACAGCTGACAGTCTACAATCAAGGACAGAGTAAGGATACAACTCAGAATCAGCTACTAGAAAAGAGGGGGCGGGGGGACCAGCTCAGTGGTGGGGCGCGTGCTCAGCATGCACGACCAACCCCCAGGACCGCCATTAAATACGTAAATAAACCTAATTACCCCCCAAAAAACAAACAATAAAACAAATTTAAAAAAAAAAGCCCCCTTCGTGGAACCACTGACCACAGAAGCAAACCCCCGGGGGATGGGGAACGGAGCTCCAGAAAGAAGATGTTCATAACCCGGCCCCGGATGCAAACAACAGCAACGCTGGTTGATTTTCCTGGTTAAAAGGGACATTGACGTTCTACAAGGTTTTCATGCAATTTCTCAAAATGAAAACATTTGAGCATTAAAGGAATAAGGAAGGCTCAGTAAAGAAAAGGAAAAAAGTCTCCCAAATTGGAAAATTAGAAAGCTCCTCTGGCACTCCCTCCCCCCCTGCACTCCCTCCCCTTCCTGCACTCCCTCCCCCCTGCACTCCCTCCCCCTCCTGCACTCCCTCCCCCCACTGCACTCCCTCCTCCGCTGCACTCCCTCCCCCCTGCACTCCCTCCCCTCCTGCATTCCCTCCCCCTCCCCCTGCACTCCCTTCCTCCCTGCATTCCCTCCCCTCCTGCACTCCCTCCCCCTCAGGCACTCCCTCCCAGGTGGCAGTGGTGGCAGTGGTGTTATCACTTGGACCATGACACCTCCCCACCTGTTCTCCACTGTGGCCTGTTTTTCAAGAATGACTTTCTGATGGCATAATTCAGCTCTTGCCTGTTCTACTAATTTCCCCTTAGAAGTGAATGTAAAACAGGATTTTCATTTTTTTTTCAAATTAGGTCCATAAAGTGACACTTAGTAAATATGTTTGTGTCACAATTTTAGAAGTAAAATTCACGTTAAATTATATGCTGAATCTTTACCTGGGTCCTTTCTTACATGTGTTTCTTTCTTTCTTTCTTTTTAATGTGTATTCTGTACTCCAGTTTCGTTGGAAGACAGAATTGAGGCCCAGCATGATTTACTAGCCAAGATCCATCCAGTTTGTCAGTTAGACTCCCCCGTGCTGCCAACTTGATGTCTTCTTAAAAGGGTGTGTCAGAGAAAATGAAACCGTATTGTTTTTCCCTTTGGTTAAGAGATCAAACACCCACCAAAAGCCCTTGGGTTAGTTTCTTACTAGATAAAATAGTTCTTCATCACTTCCCAGCTCGCAGCAAATAACCGCCTCTAATGAGTAACGTGGTGTGTGTGCCCCAGTGATTTATCAAAGCCTTAAACCGGTGTTTTAAATATATTTATTTCCAGCCACATTGGAAACCACACATAGAAAAAAAGCATGAATTTGCACCCTTAATAAACGTAACTGCAGAAGTATGTGCCTCTGCTTTGACACTTGTTGGTACTTTGCAGGCTCCAAATCTGGTAATTTATGGACACCTGGGAGAAAGTTATTCTATTTCAGAACCACAATATTTTGCTGTTTGCGAAGCTGCCAGTATAAAATGTTTCCTATTTCATTGTCTGAGCTCACTCAAGGCCGAGTTACCGTGGGGAACATTATTATAAACCATCTGAGAGCCAGCGGTGGTACTGTGTTGGAGGGAGACACCGGGGCGGTAATAGCTCTCGAGAAGCCGAGGTGTACAAGATAAAAGGGCACCTCCCCTGCAGGGAGACACATTAAGTCAATGTGTGATCCACTGCCAGCATCCTGACTGCAGCCGTTTTCTGGGCTCAACCAATCATGAGTTTCGTGAATTCTGAATCTCGTTCCAATTCCCAATTAACTGTTAATTGAGCATCATTTTATAACCTGCCAGCCGCAAACTTGAGAGTTAGACGCCGCATCGCTGGACATGAACTGTTTCTTACATTGTTTTAAATGACATAGACTTCCCTTGTCAAAGATTTCTGAACTCTTCTTTAAGGTCTAATTGTGTGTGAGAAGATGGAGCAGGTGGGGAGGGGGCAGAGCCAGCCCCAGGGGAGAATCCATCCTGCTGCTTGTGAACGTGGGGAAATAATATCTCTCCACAGGCTCTTAATCACCGGACAGGCGTGGGTTCTTTCAAAGAGAAGTGGCTGTCGTTCCAAAATCTATTTTTGGCAGGTCCTTCTGACTAAGAGCTTACTCTGTAGATGTCTTTAAGGCAGCGGTTTTCAACCCTGGCTGCACATTAGAATCTTCAGGGGTGCTTTTTAAAATCCCCTTGTCCTGCCTGCATTCCGGACCAATTCAGTGAGGCTCTGGGGTTGGGACCAGACATCGGGATTTTGTAAATCTCTGCAGGGTGAGGGGGCGCAGTGGGCAAGTTCTAGTTCTTGG